CGAGAGCCTCCGCCGGCCCAAGCACACAGGACATCCAAGGGTACCCTTTCCTGGGATGCACGATGCATCACATCCCACAAACAAGAGGAGCACGCGAGCGTATTCTTATTCGGCATTTCGACCTTGGGCGGACGAGCGGGGTGGTCTGGCTCCGGACCTCTGCTTAGCGCGACTGTTTGCAACCGTGCGTCCTGTGAAAGAGAGACTCCGCCTGCCTGAAGCAGGCGCCAGAAACAGCCGGGATCTGCCCGCGCCGATCGGCAAAACAACGAATGAAAATTATCCCGGCAAAGCAACCTAACAGCGATGTGTAGAAGCATATCTGAAAGCATCCCCCTGAAGATTCAGATGAAAATCCAGTTGTAGAATTCTGCTGTTCTCGCAGTCGTAGTCGCATTCGCGATGACAGTCGCAGTGGCAACGGCAGTCGCAGTCACAGCCTCAGCCTCAGCCTGCCTCAGCCTCAGCCTCAGCCTGCCTCAGCCTCAGCCTGCCTCAGCCTCAGCCTCAGCCTGCTTCAGCCTCAGCCTCAGTCTGCCTTCAGCCTCGGCCAGCTCAGCCTCAGCCTGCCTCAGCCTCAGCCGCAGCCTCAGCATCAGCCTGCCAGCCTCAGCCTCAGCCTGCCTCAGCCTCAGCAGCAGCTCAGCCTCAGCAGCAGTCGGCCGCAGCATCAGCCTGCCTCAGCATTCAAAATGCGGCCCAGGAGTGGCCCTAGAAGAACACGAAGTGGCCTACAGTTGGCTCCACGAAGTGGCCTACAGTTGGCTCCGGGCAAAAATCATGCCCAGGAATGGAGTTCTGGGAACTTGAAGAGCACGAAGTGGCCTACAGTTGGCTCCGGGCATCCAAAATGTGGCCCGGGAATGGAGTTCTGGGAAGTCGAAGAGCACGAAGTGGCCTACAGTTGGCTCCGGGCATCCAAAATGTGGCCCGGGAATGGAGTTCTGGGAGCACCAAGAGCGATTTTGCGAGGATGTCCCAAGCGATTTCGGCTTCGGCGGCAGCCTCTCCGGGTCCCGCCCAGACCCCCCTGAGGAGTCATGATGCTCTCTTTTGAGACCACTAGAAACCTATCAGCAAGAGCTGTTAGGTAAAAAAACACCACTGGTGTAGTTACCCTTAGGTAAAGCATGTCCCGCTACAGGCTGATTTCGGGCGAAAAATTAAAAATAGCCGGAAAATATTCCAAAGTAGGCAAAACTTGTCAAACATCGTCCCCAGACTATTTCTTGACTATCTCTGAATATTCCTCCTGTAGGGGGACAGGCCCGACTTACAGCTGCCCTCTCCGAGACGACCTCGAGCTTGCACCTCGGTCCGACTGCCTGTGCGCATCCGCACGGTGGCCACCGTGGTGGCGAGCGACAGCACAGGAGGCGAGCCGCCGCGCGAACTCCACTCCGGGTGCTGCAGGGGGTGTGGATTAGGCGTGGCCAGCGGGAGACTCGTGCCGTGCCGACCTCAGCGTTGGCTTCTGACATCGCATGGATCGTTCAACCTCGAACGATTGGGGGCGATTTTTTAACCACCAGATCGTTCTACATCGGCCAATTCTCGGCCACTGGCGGCGTTCACCCTTGAACGCTCGCGGCGGGGTCGCCACCGGTGGACACGACTCGCACCTGCCGCACGGTGGGGGTGGGGGGTGCGGTGGAGGGGGCGACGAGACGTGCACCCTTCGTGCGCCGCTGGGGCCGCGGGGGCGCCCCTGCAGGGCCCCTTGCGTGAGGCGTGCAGTTTTTGCCCCTGCATTTCTGGCCACCCCCACCCCCCCTTTTTCGTCACCTCCACCCCTCCCCCATTTTCGTCCCCCCCCCTCCTCCATTTTTCGCTCCCCCCCCCTCCCTTTTACGAAAAGCCCGGGTGGACTGCGCAGGGCACCCGCTGGCACATTTGCACCCACGCGCAAGCGCACGGAACGCTGGGATGCGAGACCGCCGAAGCGGATCGGCGCCCCTCGGCAGGGAACCCGTAGTGCTCGTGACGTGCGTCGGTGCGGTGCGAGACGAGGCGACGCTGCGCGAGATCCCGCCGCAGGTCGACCGGAGAAACCACGTGGTGGAGGCGAGGCCCGTCCTGGAAGTGTCCCAAGGCCTGTGGGATCGAACCTGTCTTTGGGGCTTTCGCTGATTCTACTGGGGTCGAAGGCAGAGGGGCAGATGGGCAGGCCCGCCCCGCAGTCTCCACTGTGAGGACAGCATGGCTTTGGCAGGCGTGTCGCCAAACCTTGCGAGATCATAGAACAAGTTGCTCCCGCTCGATCTCGCCAAACCATGTTACATCACACGTACACGACCAATCACCATGATGCTTAAAACTAATTGCGCTTGTAACGAACAGCGGCATGACGCCCAACGTTGAAGCAAACGCTTCAAGCGAAGCCTGTGCCGAACGAAACGAACAACGAAACGAGGCGTCTGAACCAAAACGAACACCGAAGCGAAACGAGAGCGACAAAAAGCAACGGAAAATGGAGCACCGGCCAAACCAAGCTAAGCAACGTTGTGGCGGGCCCTTGCACCGACACGCATGCCCCTCTGCCTCCGGTATTCCCCGCACTCGTCCAGAGGCCTCTTACTCCGCTCTTTCCTAATTATCTGCCCTCCTGCCCGCTCCTCCCCGCCCCATCCATGCGCCCAGTACCGCTGTCATCCATCCTCCTCCTCCTCCTCCTCCTCTCTCCTCCTCCCCTTCCCTCCTCCTCCCCTCCTCGTCCTCCTCCTCCTCCTCCTCCTCCTCCTCCTCCTTCCCCTCCACAATGACTCAATATAAATACTACTCTCCCTCTTCCCCTGATGACGGTTTGAAAGTGCTCGACCCCCCCTCGCGTATGGTTTTTTACACAGGTTTCCCCGGAGTTGGGTTTCCGCCTGCATTTGTTTCAAAATGCTGCTCTCGCTGAGGCGCCGGCCTCATTTTCGGGCCCCGCTCGTTCCGAATCGTGCTCCCGCTGCAGCGCTGGCCTCATTTCCGTGCTTCCGCTCGTTCCGAATCGTGCTACCGCTGCAGCGCTGGCCTCATTTCCGCGCTTCCGCTCGTTTCGACTCGTGCTGCCACTGCAGCGCTGGCGTCATTTCCAGTGCCATGCCACGGCATGCAATGCAATGCCCGGTTGATACTACGCTGTGCGGTGTCCTTCTACGCCATGCCATGCCGTGCTCTACAATGCATCGCGTACCCTTTCGGGATCATTGCCCTGCTCGACATCCGACTGTGCGAGTAGAGAGGGGATCTACGCCATGGTAAGGGATGGGAGGGAGGGGTAGGATGTCAGATATGACGCGAGCGCACCTAGCTTGCCCTCCCCCCCCTCCTCCTCCTCCTCCTTCTCCTCCTGCTGTTCCTCCTCCCCCTCCTCCTCCCTCCCCTCCTCCTCTCCTCCTCCTCCTTCCTCCTCCTCCTCCTCCTCCTCCTCCTCCTCCTCCTCCCCCACCTCCTCGTCGTCGTCCTCCTCCTCCTCCTCCTCCTCCTCCTCCTCCCCATCCTCCGCACGGGCGATCGAAGAGAAGTCGGGGAAGGTGCGGATGATCAGCAATAGTTCCCCGAGTCCTTGGGGGTCTGCTTTGCAGCTGTGTCGAAAGAAACCACACGCACATGTTCAGCGATATCCCTGAAAACGTTGATCTGAGTCAGGCCACGAATTCATTGTGAGTTCGGGGTTGGGGGTTGAATAATGCTTAATGAGCAGAGGAGTGCGAACCTTGGAAACATTCATTCTATAGGAAGACGAAGCATACAGGATTCGCAGCCTGGGCAGCCGAGCCTCTGGGAAATGAAGACCGCCAGGAAGCCAGAACAGTCAAACAACCCAGAGGGAGTATGACAGCCAAACGACTACATTTAGGTAGGGCATGTCCTCCTACAGGCGGATCTTGGAGGAAAAATCAAATAATCCCGGCAAAGCAACCTAACAGCGATGTGTAAAAGCATATCTGAAAGCATTCCCCTTAAGATTCAGATGAAAATCCAGTTGTAGAATTCTGCTGTTCTCGCAGTCGTAGTCGCATTCGCGATGACAGTCGCAGCGGCAACGGCAGTCGCAGTCACAGCCTCAGCCTCAGCCTGCCTCAGCCTCAGCCTCAGCCTGCCTCAGCCTCAGCCTCAGCCTCAGCCTGCAGCCTCAGCCTCAGCCTCAGCCTGCCTCAGCCTCAGCCTGCCTCAGCCTCAGCCTCAGCCTGCCTCAGCCTCAGCCTCAGCCTGCAGCATCAGCCTGCCTCAGCCTCAGCCTCAGCCTGCCTCAGCCTCAGCCTCAGCCTGCTTCAGCCTCAGCCTCAGTCTGCCTTCAGCCTCGGCCTCAGCCTCAGCCTGCCTCAGCCTCAGCCTGCCTCAGCCTCAGCATCAGCCTGCCTCAGCATTCAAAATGTGGCCCGGGAATGGAGTTCTGGGAACTCGAAGACACGAAGTGGCCTACAGTTGGCTCCGGGCATTCAAAATCATGCCCAGGAATGGAGTTCTGGGAACTTGAAGAGCACGAAGTGGCCTACAGTTGGCTCCGGGCATCCAAAATGTGGCCCGGGAATGGAGTTCTGGGAAATCGAAGAGCACGAAGTGGCCTACAGTTGGCTCCGGGCATCCAAAATGTGGCCCGGGAATGGAGTTCTGGGAAGTCGAAGAGCACGAAGTGGCCTACAGTTGGCTCCGGGCATCCAAAATGTGGCCCGGGAATTGAGTTCTGGGAGCACCAAGAGCGATTTTGCGAGGATGTCCCAAGCGATTTCGGCTTCGGCGGCAGCCTGTCCGGGTCCCGCCCAGACCCCCTGTGCGCGGCTCTTTGGGAACCGCGGGGGGGACAAACACGAGCGCGCAAGACGCTACTACCGCATCGCGTGCGGCGACAGAGGGGACCCCGTTGCGTCCGCAGCATGGGTCACTCCGGCGAAAGGTCACTCTTACGTGCAGTCGATTCTTGGCCGCGGGAGCAGCCCCCCCTCGCGAAAGCCCGGCGCCATGCGCTCGTGACCCGGCGCGCTCCGACGGAACGCCATCCGCTGCGAGTCACACTAGCCCTCAGCAGCCGGCACCGGGAGCCAAGCAGCCCAGACCAGCTCCGGGCCTGGAGGACATCAACCCAGACCCCAAGGAGGACAGAAGGCACAAGCCAGAGCACGAGGAGGAGGAGGAGGAGGAGGAGGAGGAGCAGCAGGAGGAGAAGGAGGAGGAGGAAGAGGAGGAGGAGGAAGGAAGGGTACCCCCATACGCCCACCCAGACCCCCTCGCGTCGTGAACAAAGATCGCGACGGGAGGTTTTTCGCTTCGTTCAGCCTCTGGGGGCCCCTACCGGGCCCTGGGACCATCCAGAAACGCCTCCGGAGGAGTCGGTCCCGGGGAAGGGGTCCAGCCCTCTAGAAATTGACGTTGTGAAAAATAGGGAAACAAACTCTACACACCGACGCGTTTCCCGACCCTGCGCTGAAATTCGCACAAGAACGTGGACTCTGGTGTATACGGAACTCTGGTATATACATTTTTTGTTGTTTCCGCGGGGCATCGGGGAAAAAAGTATACACCACACCACCCCAGCGTCGTCCCCGACCCTCAAAAAGTCATGGGGTTGAAAAACGACCCGCCACTGGTAATGTGTATGTTCCAGCTTCCGAAAAAGATCACGACGTCGGGGGTCTGGGCGCTCGGCATGCGGTCGGGAGCTCTCGCTCGGTGCATCGCGGCGGCGGCCCCGGCGGCACGCCGTGTCCTGCAAGTGGCTGGAGCGTGTGGCCCCGCTGCTCGGGCTGGCGTGGAGGCTGGGACAAAAAAACTCGGGACGCGGACGCCCTGGGGCTGGGGCGCGGTTCTCGGCGGCGACGATAGGGGTGAGTAGCCCAGGGGCGGACATTACACGCGTTGGCCCCGGAGCCTCTTCGAAGACATGGAGCATCGGCGCACCTGAATACACGTATTGCTCTCCCCTGGGCTATTCGCCCCTATCGTCGCCTCTGAGGTTAGCGTGTCGCTCCGAAGCGAGAACCAGCGAAGCGACTTTTTCGTCGGCGGCGAGGCGGCGAACTCCGCTCCAGCGAGAAGCTGGAAAAGGGGCGCTGACGCCCTGGGACTGGGACTGACTACCTACCAGACCACCCCAACCCAACCCGAGAACCTCAATTTCGGGTTGGGGGGGTAAGGGTTCCACGTGTGTTTTTTCGACGTTTCCCGACCCCCCCCCCACACACTGGAAATCGACGGTAGATTTGAGCCTTTGGGTTGGGTTGGGGTGGCTTGGCGGGTGGTGAGGGACGCGGTTAGCGTGTCGCTCCGAAGCGAGAACCGGCGAAGCGACTTTTTCGTCGGCGGCGAGGCGGCGAACTCCGCTCCAGCGAGAAGCTAGGAAAGGGGCACTGACTAGCGAAGTGGCCGTCGGGCAAAGGCAGGGAGTGGAGACGGCCGAGAGGACCGGCGAAGCGACGCATTATCCAGAAGTTCCCGACCGTAAAACGTAAACTTCTGGAGGTCCGCGCGGATCTCGTGGACCCGTGCTGCACAACCCTCTCCCTGGCGCGCGGAGCGCGCCAAGGGCGGCGCCGGAGGCGCCACCAGGGAGGCCCCATCGCTGATCCGCGAGATCCGCACAAACCTCCTGAAGTTTGTGCTTGCGCCGTTATCTGTTCTGCGAGGGACGTAGGAGCCAGAAGGTGCCGATACTGCTACTCCCCAGACCTCTCCCAGGGCACATCCTCACCAGGATCTCGAGGCGAATCCAGCGGTGGCGACGAGGGCCTCCCAGGAGGCCCGAAAAGGCGAAAACGATGCAAGAATAGCCGTATCAGTAACTTCATCCTCCTCTGAACTCTGGGCCGTAGGAGGCGAAGATGAGCGCGAAGTCGAGGACGATCAGCCACTGCATCAGGCCCATCATGCTGCGCATGCGGGGGGAGCTGGCGCCCGAGATAGCCGCTGGCGCAGCGCGCTCGGTGAACTGGCTGATGAGTGGCACGATGAACACGGCCAGCGGTGCGTTCATCAGCGCCCGGTGTCGCAGCATCACCTAGGAAAATAAAACACAGCATAACCATACATCTCTGGAGCTCCGCGCGGATTTCTTGAATCGGCGCTGGACCTTCCTCCCTGCCGCGCGGAGCGCGACAAAGATGGCGCCAGAGGCGCGGTCATGGGGACCGGACCGCGAATGCCAGAAATACGTGCGAAACTCAATTTTTCTGCTTACGTGGGAACCAAAAGGTGCTGATAGCGCTGCGCCCAGGACCTCTCCAGGGGTTCGTTTCGACCAGCATTGCGAGGCAAATCCAGCGGTGGCGACGAGGGCATCCTAGGAGGCCCAAGAAGGAGAAAACGAGAGAAGAGTGACCCAAGACCCCCGACGTCGTGATGTTTTCACAACTTCGACCCCCCGAGTTCTTGACCCTTTCCCTGGACTGGCTCCTCATCCTGAGTTGTTTCTTGAGGGTCTCGGGGCCCGGCAAGGCCCCTCCGAGGCCGAAAGAGCGAGAAACCTCCCGTCAGGGGGTTTGGGTGGATGTATGGGGGTACCCTGCCCTCCTCCTCCTCCTCCTCCTCCTCCTCCTCCTCCTCCTCCTCCTCCTCCTCCTCCCCCTTCTACTCCTGCTGTTCCTCCTCCACCTCCTCCTCCCCCTTCTGCTCCTGCTGTTCCTCCTCCACCTCATCCTCCTCCTCGTCCTCCTCCTCCTCCTCCTCGTCCTCCTCTTCGTCCTCCTCCTCCTCCTCCTCATCCTCCTCCTCCTGCTCCTCACTCTTCTCCTCCTTCTCCCCCTCCTCCTCTGGCTTGCGCCCTTTGTCCTCCCTGGGGTCTCCAGCGTCTCCACGGCGGGCAGCGACAGCAGCGCCGACGCCGCGGCCTCCTCCACCGCGCCCAAGACGTCGTCGTAGTCCGGGGAGCTCTCCGGCGGCAACCGGTCCCGAGGGAGGTACAGCCTCACAGGAGGAAGACAACCCGGACAAGCGATGTCCTGAGGAGGACGAGGAAGAGGAGAGCAGGAAGATGAGGAGCAGGAGGAGGAGGAGGTGGAGGATCAGCCCGTGGTTTGGGGCGGAGGTTCGTCCACCCTGTGGCCTGGTGGCCTCCTGGCGCTGACGGAACAAGAAATGTGTCAGCCTTTGCGGGGGGCAACTTTACCTGGAGGGAGTGGAGAAGTTGTTTCTGGGCTGCCTACCGTTGCAGAGCAGATTCCACTGAGTTCGAGCGCCTGCTCGTTTGAAATCATTCCCGCACATCCCGCTCAGAGCTCTCACGCTCGATTCAGTCCACACTTCGAACACACCAAAATATAGCTCGTGCCTCGGGGCTCTGGTGATATATGCAGCCCATTGCGTTTGGGGATCCTGCGCTAGGTCTGAAAACTCATGATGAAATCCTTTGCGGGGTTCCTCGGCTCTGCCCTGCAACTTACTCTCCGCACACTGCGTATTGCAATGTACGCAAATCCACTTTCTGTTCCCCCCTCCACGCCAACGCGTGACGAAGACGAGGAGGACGAGGAGCCTCAAGGGCAGGAGGTGTAGGGAGGGGTTGGCTCCACGACTCTAGGGCGCTACGCGCTCCAGCTGCAATCGGCTGGGCGGCACCCTTGTCTCGAGACGTGAAGGCATTGATGCTGTTATTGGGGCCGGCTGGCTCCCGCAAACTAAATCCTCTGGCAACATAGGCTAGCCCCTTCTTGATAAGTGTGTACCGTTCTTCCGCCTGCTCGACTTCAGCGGTAGAGGGACGACGCGAACACTGCGTGGCAGGCTTGGCAAACTTGTCAGCAATTTTTGGCCCGTGACATCGGACCACTCCGTGGATCACGTTTGGGATCGCTTCCCAATCTTGATTCGTTTTAACCTTCGCGCGCTCGTATCATGCCAGCCTCAGCTGCCTGTCGCAGGCATGGAGACTCCTGAGTATGGATGCGCCCTACCATGCTGCTGGCACAGGTAAACATCTAGAATGCCTTGGTAATCAATGGTTAATTGGGTGATCGACCGAGAGGGAGGGGGGGGGGGGAGCGAGGGGGGGGGCAGCAAGCGCGGCAAGGTGCTCAGCAGAGGGGAAGGCATGAGGGAGACTCCTTCCTACGGGGCCGTACATCGTTCCTGTGCTAGGTCTCCTTGGTCATCGATCGTGGCCGCTGCGAAACTTGCTGAATGAAAAACTGGGTGTTCCTGCTTGAGACGCGATCCATCAATGAAAAATCTTGCCCCTGAGCACTTCTCGGGTCGTCTTTCCCTCTTTGCCCAGAATCCTAAGTTTGTTGCGCTCGTTGCCTAGACCAGCTGGGGCTTCAATCGGGAAGCCGGATCTCAGAGGAAAGCGAGCCTGCATGGGGAAGAAGGTCCCGAAGCTGGTCTAGCTCGCATTGCGAGAACGTCTCGTCCCCAAGCGGCTCGGACCATGGGCAGCTCGCGAGTCTGTGACGAAGGTCATCTTTCATGGCCGCATCGACGTCAGGGCTCCGTGAGGCATCCTGTTTTTGGAGGCTGGTATTGGTCCAGAGGACATTGGCGGAACAAAAACGCCTTGGGGGCAACCTTCTCCGAGTCCGATCTCCGGTTGGAGGCCGACACTTCGTTGGCCGCTGAGGCGCCCAGCTGGCCCCCCCGCCCTAGCTCGTCCGTCACGTGCCCCCGCAGCCGCTGCACCAATGCTTCCTGGAGCCAGAACTGGAGGAGCGAGGGGGGGTGGTCGTGAGGATGTGAGCCTGGCCCGACGGGTCGATCTGCTCGAAAGGTCCTGCGAAGGTCCACCCGATTCTGGCCGCGCTTAAACGCGCCGCTCCAAATTGCCCTCTACGGTGGCTCCATCTCGATGGAGGGCCCTCGAGCGCTGCAGCCGCCATAGCTCGGATAACTGAAAGATTTCAACCTGGCGCACCCTCTCCTGTCATTGTTCCCGAGACGAGGGTGGGCCGCAACAAAATGCGCCCTGCTCCCAGGCGCCAGCAGGGGCCCCCGAGGAGGCAAAGAGCGAGCGAGATTGATATGGCGGTCGCCCCTGGGCCCGCAGGCCCCAAGAACTACCTAAATAACCGAAACTCCACATTGCCCATTCCGGCCACTTCAGCTCCGAAAAACTGCGCCTGCCCAAACCCAGAAGTGCACAGTTCGAAGGCGGTGTCCTCCAACGCGGTGGGCATCTCGGATTTGGGGGCGCCCTCTTATTTAGAAGTACCTGTCCCTGGGCTTGCTGCTGCTGATCGCGTTTCTCCATGTTTGCCCCGCCCGAAAGCAATTCCTAGAATTCGATGCGCGCGATGGGGTGGCTCTTGAGTACTTGCCGGCCTGCTTCGCGAGCTTCATCTGTACTGGCGACGCTAGAATGCTGACTTGGCCACCGCAGTCTCACATTCCAGGTCGCGCTGGATCGCTCGCAAAAGGCCCGCGGCCGCTTTCCCCATATCCGACGGGGGCGGCCCTGCGCTCGCGGGAGCGAATGGGGGGCAAGTCATCGATGAACATGCGTAATGATCCGGGTGCGTTAGAGGTCCATGCATCCAAGGGTTCCGAACGTGGGAATTGAACCAGAAGCGCAGCAAAACTGCAGCCCGCTGGGATCCCGTTTGATGTGCATCCTGCGTAGGACGTCTTATAAATCAGTGCAATCATGCGTTGGCTTTGGAATTCGGTTAATGGTGATGGCGAGGGCGGCTCCATGGAAGCCTGCTGCTAGGGCTCTCGGTTGTAGGTTTCTGCGGTTAACGTGCTCGCAGTAGTGGGCGAGGTCACACATGATGGAGGCCGCGCAGAAGGGGAAATTATGAGCGGCGTTGCTCGCTGACTGGAGCGATTGCTGGCGCACTAACTCGAGTATCGATCTGCCAACCTGGTGGCGCTGGCACCCCCATCTCCTCGCCACTTCCGGTCGTGGGCAAGCTCATATGCGATCAGTGCTGAGCATCAAACCAATACCTCGGCATGATGGCCCCCTCCTGAAAACTTATGCTTGGGAATCAAAGCTGCGATCGCTGCGATAAGCTGAGTCGGCATGCCGCCCGCGCGCTCAATCGCATTGAGGAGCCCGCAAAACAACTCCTGCTGCTGCTGAGAAAGAGGGGGGCAATGCATGGGGCGCAGTCAGTCCCAAATCACTTCGGTGGCGTTGCTGAACTTCTTCAGGTCCTGGCGGAGATCCCGATGGGTTTATCCGACCTAGGGCTTCAGCAGCTCGAGGGTCTCCAGGGGCCAATTGATGAGGTTCCACTTTGGGGTTCCAGACATGTGGGCCTTCTGACCTCGGCGTTGAGGAGCTCCGCGGGGCTGCCCGAGAAGGCCCTGTCGTTCCTCTGGACTCTATTTGGCTCCCAGCGGTGAACCTTCCCGGCCCGCACGCGGGCCCGACCTATTCCCTCGGGCGCCCGATCGTCCACCCACTGTTTCCACGTCGCGCTAGCACTTTGGCCCTCGGAATGTTTTTCATTGTCCAGGAACTGAAGAACTAGTGTGTGCAGTTCTCGAAATATGGCTTTCGCTGCGTCTTGATCCCGCCCTCCCCCTGGCCAAGCAGATCCTGCTGTAGCGCCTCCGCGAGCCTGTGCGCATTGCTAGGCGCAGCGCTCAACTCGCCAGATTCCCAAAAATGCGGCGGCTCGCGCAACCGCTGCAAGAGATCTGGAGCGCCTCCACATTCTCTTGACATGCGATACGCTGGACCTCTAAAATCTGGATGAGCAGCCATCAAATTGGTCGCATGAACTCACGACTTCCACTGAGCTCGCTGTTGACTCTCAACGGCATTGGCGGACAGCCACGCAACTTTGGGGGTTCCATACCGATTCCCAAGGTGCCGAAGAGGGGCGTTCGTGGCCCTCCTGAGGGGGCCTTCCATTTTCAAAACCAAAGCCCCATACGTCTTGTCCAGGGCGACCTTCTTCTGGGTATCTGGGGCCTCCGGGTCCAGGATCTGCCCCAATGAGTGTTCTAACCCAATCAAGGTTCTTGAGGGAGGGCTAAATGGGCGCTTGGCGGGGGTCTCCTGCGGCATGCTGAGGACAGGAACATGAAACTCGCATCGATGGGGCCATGTTAAAAATCAGCTCCGACAAGAACTGGCATGCGAAACTTCTGCTGGCACCATCCTGCCGTGGCCAACAGGTGCACATCTGCATTGTTCAGGCCTGTCGAAGCTTCGAACTCCATGGGCATGCAAACTATCGGCTTATGACCTGGTATCTCAAATCTGGCAGCAGCGGCTCTGCTTGATGGAATGTAGCCTGGGAGCGCAACAGGTCGAACTCCAAATGAGAATGCATGTGCCACTGCTGCTGTAACCGTTGTCGCCGGCGTCGCAACCTGAAAATATTGCACGCTGGCCTCGCACTTCACACCATTGCACTGCTTGGCCCACTCTGTCTCCTCGGAGTTTGACCTCCTGAGCAAGCGTGGCCGAAGCATCCTGAACTTCTTGAGATTGGACTCGACCTTGTACGGAGTTCCAACAAGTGCCGTTTATGGTGATGAACTCGGACTGCTTGGTGTTACCCTCCATGCAGTGATGAGCGCGACACTGACCCACCTTTGCTGACTGCCTTATAGCCGCTTCCTCGGCCTTGACGAGCGCAGCCTTGGTCGCTTTGGGGTCCTGGTCCGAGGTCTGCACGGCGATCTTGCCTAGCGCCTGCTCCAATACCTCCGCCTCGCTGTGCAGCCTCTTCTGCATGGCTGTGGTGTCGACTGCCGACTCGTCCATGGCGGTCGTCTCCTGCTGCTGTGGTTCGTCATCATCCTCTGTGCCGCCCGTCGGGGGGAAGTCGTCAGGCTCCTCCTTGGCCGCTGGCGGCGCTGGGGGTGCATCCGCCGCTGTTGTACTGCATGCTGGTGTAGATTGCGTCCCTTGCGACGCCGCCACCAGGCCTGTGACTGCCGAGGAGATGCTCTGCTCCAATGTGTAAACTTGCTGCTGGATGTGGGCTGGTACGTCTGAGACTGGGCCCGCTGCCGACTGCAACATAAACTGGTTGAGCTTGGGGACCAGGCTCTGCATCTTCGACGTGGATATCGCCGCCGCCACAGAATGGACTGTGACTGCGTGTTGGGCCTCCAGCTGCACAACCTCCTCCTGCATGGCGGCGACGTGCTTCTGCACGTCCGCGTACTCCTCGGCCGGGGTGGTGAGCTGATCCAGCTTCTCTGTGGCCTGGGACCCTGACGTGTTAATGCGTTCCTTGGTGCGCTCGATCTGGTCTCGCAGAGACTGTGCTTGCTGATCAAGAGGCTTCGCTTTGAGCCAAGGACTGCTTGAATGATTTGAGCTGCGCGACCGCCACCTCGTAGTTGTTGCCTCCGACGCCTTCTCGCTCCTTCCAGAACTGAGCCATCTCCTGGTGCGTACCGACTTCGAGGTCGGTGGCGGTATTGGTCGGGCTGGTGTCGGTGCGAGGCTGTGTTTCATGTTCCTGCCTGTCATTCCCCCGGCCCCTGGCTGCATGCTTCCTGCTTTTTCTGCCCATTGGCGCCAGAAGGTGGAGCTGGCTGAGAGGGGCCTTTGTCGTCTCTGCCTTTGCTTTACCTTGATAGTTTCTGCCACAGTTGCCACCGAACTTACTCTTGTCGCACCAGTCCCAGCCCGAGCACTGGGGGTTGCTGCATACGAGGTACACGCGACGATTATCTGGCTGATATCCTTTCTTGCCGTTATTGCCCTTCGCCTGGCACAGCCACTCCAATGAGAAGCAGCAGGATGCACTTGGGCTGCAGGCGAATGCAGCAGAAAGAATGAATTTGTGGGAGACGTTGGGCTTCCTGGAAGTCCGCGGAGAAAGCTTGGGCCCCAGCTCACTGGACCTGACCAGTGGAGGAGGAGGAGGAGGAGGATGAGGAGGAGGACGAGACCCCGACATGTTTTTCCATACGTGGCCCCCAGAAGTCGCGACATCTTGCCCGGGACCCGTTTTTTTCCTGAGCCCTCTTTTGACGGCCCCGGGGCTCCGCGAGGGCCCCCCAAAACTGCCCGAACCTCCCTTGGGCGCCCGAATGATCCAGGATAACTCGGGCCTGGGGTAACTCGGATTAGGATTCTCGGGTTAGGATTCCCGAAAAAAAAACGAGTTAGCCCTGACCCGAGTTACCCCCTGATGCTTTGGGGCTCTGGACGCCCGAGCTACCCGGGGTTACGATTCTCGGAACACACACACACACACACACACACACACACACGCACACACACACACACACACACACACACACACACACACACGCACACGCACACACGAGTTGGCCCTGACCCGAGTTACCCCTGATGCTTCGGGGCTCTGACTCCCGGCCTGCTTTGCTCCAGGCGCGAGCAGGTCTGGGAGATTCGCGGGTGCATCGAGCGTTCGGGGACGCCCGCGCGGAGTCCGCGGCTTGGCCCTGGGCCCCCCCGTGTGGCGCCTCTGGCTCTCCTCCCGCTCCGCGCGCCGAAGAAGGGGGGGGCCCAGCGCCCATCCGCGAAATCCGCGCGGGCCGCCGAAAGTTCTGCGATGCGTTACGACGTTCTTACTCGGCGGCGAGCCCAGGAGAGGGGGAGAGTCAGAGGGGGCAAGCCTTCTCAGAAGGCGGCGGGGCTTCTCAGAGGCCTTCGCGTCTTCCGGGAAGTCCTCTGGGCCTTCTCCGCGGCCAGGGACGGCTTCTCTGAAGGCCAGGGGGCTTCTGGGAGACCCCGCCCCTCCTGAGAAGGCCTGGCCCCTCTGTAGCCAAGCGCGTTCCACCACTCGCAGAGCAGCTGCTCGCAAGTGACCGCGATCCGCCGAGGGGGGGCTTACGATCCACAAGATCGAGGCCATCAGGCTGCTTTTCCCTGGCGTCCTCGAGCAGGCGCTCTGCGAGCAGTGGAGCGTGCTCGGTAACCCTGGGCTCGCCGCCGACCTGGCTCCTGCGGCGTCGGCTCGCGCAAGGGTTTCTGGCACCGCGTCGATCGCTCAACCTTGAATCGATCGCGGCCCCGGTGGTTCAAGGATACATTCGGTCGTGTCCAGTGGCGCTGCCGTGTCCATCGGCGCCTGGACGGTTTCCCCCCGGGGCCCGGAGGCGACCCGAGGAGGGGAGGCCGAGGAGGAGGGGGAGGAGGGGGAGGAGGAGGGGGAGGAGGAGGAGGAGGAGGAGGAGGAGGAGGAGGAGGAGGAGGAGGAGGGAGGAGGAGGAGGAGGAGGAGAGGAGGAGGGGAGGAGGGAGGAGGAGGAGGAGGAGGAGGAGGAGGAGGAGGAGGAGGAGGAGGAGGAGGAGGAAGAAGGATCAGGAGGAGGAGGAGGAGGACGACGAGGAAGAGGAGGAGAGGAGGAGGAGGAGGAGGAGGAGGAGGAGGAGGAGAAGGATCAGGAGGAGGAGGAGGAGGAGGAGGAGGGGGAGGAGGAGGAGGAGGAGGAGGAGGAGGAGCTGCGAGCCTCGCCGCGGCGCCCATGTAGAACCACACGCCGCCGAAGAACACCAGCGCCCCCACGCCGTGTGCCGCGCTCTGCCTGGACATGCCCGGCTCCAGCAGGCAGACCCCCTGCAGCGCTACGCCGGCCGCGGCCGCGGCGCCGCAGCGGGTGAACGACTCGCCCGCATCGCCTGACCGGCCCCGAGCTTCCCAGACCCCCTCGCGTTGTGAAAAAATCACGACGGGAGGGTTCTCCCTATTTTCGGCCCCTGGAGGCCCTCACCGGGTCCCGGGACCGTCAGAAACGACTCGGGATGAGGAACCGGTCCCGGGGAAGGGGTCCAGACCTCTGGGGGTCGACGTCATGAAAGAATCATGATGACGGCGGGGGTCCAGGTAACCGGCCCCGAGCTTCTCCCTGTGCCAAGGCCACGATCGCGGCGGTGTTGGTGGGGATCTGGCTTCTGCGTCGCCGGACTCGCGCAGAGCAAGCTGCGTAGCGCATCACGAGCCATACTCTCCTGTGCTCCAGATGCGCAACTGTATCGAGCTACAGCGGCACGGCGAATTGTAGGAAAAGCACGAGCAATGCTTTCCCAGAATTGGTTTGGCCACGAACCACCACCACCTACAAAACCAAAACCTACATCGCCGTTACCTACATCGCCGTTGGCGTGTCTACTGCCATCCCTACGATGGACGAGCCCAGAGGCTGTGACAATCCGAAGGCTGCGCCCACAGAAACCGAGAGGATCCTGCAGACCGGCATCGAGGCGAGGCGATGCCAATCCTGGGGGTGGGGATGTGCTCCAGGCTGGCGGTCGCCGTCGATGCCGCCCGGCAGGTGGGGCAGGCACAGCTCGCGGTGCAGGCACACCATGGCCGCCAGCAGCGTGGCCGCCGCGGCGAAGCCGCAGCGGTACAGCGCCTTCGCGGCCGAGGGCCCCACGCCGAGCTCGGAGATCTGCGGGAAGGGCACCTCGCGGCTGCACACGCAGGAGCGACCCCAGGCAAGAGCGACCTCTGGGTGCGCGCGGCTCCAGGGGCCCCATTCCGAGCGCGCCAGCCAGTGCTCGGGGGCCCACTCTGGGCCCGCACCAGAGGTCACTCCACCGAATGGTCGCTCTTACGATTAGCCTTAGGTCGGGCACGTCCCCCTACAGGCAGTGTCTGAAGACAAATAGAACAGATTCAAGACAAACAAAAAACCTTAAGCATCTTAAACCATTTTTCAATATTTGATGAGTATCCCCCCCGTCGACTACTTTTGCATATGTTTAGCTATGTTTGAAGATCCCCCCTGTCGAGGGACACGCCCGACGGAAGACTCGCCGGACCTCCGGGTCTAGCAGCGGCGCGTGTATGGCGTAGCAGCCGGCCACGGTCCCCACGATCCAGAGCAGGGAGCCGGCGGGCGCGAGCGCGCCCAGCAGCGCCACGCGCAGGCCGGGCACGGCTCCCCCCTGCGCCGGCAGGAGCAACGGGCGGCACAAAGAGGCGTGAACTCTCGGGAGGCCGCGCGGATCTCCTGGATCCGTGCCGAGTCACGAGCGGCGAACATGTCCGTATCCGCGCCATCGCGGCCTGGATTCCAGGGCGCGATGCCGCAGAGGCGCGGTCGCACAGATGCGCTCCTCGCGGGGCATCCGCACAAGAGCGCCCCGTACCCCCGCGGGGTCGCGGCGCCCAGGGGGCCGGCCCTTGGGGCCGCGGGCACGGCAATACGGTGAGGGCGTTGGATAAGGAAGCATTGGATACGGAATCCAGGGTCTGGAAGCTGGTGAAACACCAATCGTAGATTGGCCATGGATATCGCTGCCGACCTCATCAGAGAAGAAATCCTCCAGGGTCTGAAGCCCCCTGGACACATTGCTTAACGAACGCCCTCACCGTATTTTCCGCCCACGACTGAAACACCTATCCCTGGCGCGAGGAGCGCGCCATGGGCGGCGCCAGAGGCGTCGCCAGGGTGCTTCCAGCGCAGATCCAAGAGATCCGAACGGAACTCCGAAAACCTGTGCTTATGCCGTAGTAGGCCGTGTGAACGGCAAGGTACAGACAGCGCTACTCCCCAGACCTCTCCCCGAGCGCGCTCTGACCAGGATCTTAAGGCGTGTCCAGCGGTGGCGACGAAGGCCTCCCAGGAGGCCCGGAAAGGCGAAAGCGAGGCAATGGCAGCGGAGCTCCGACAGGTTGTGCTCATGCAGTTGTTTTGCTCCTCGACCTCTGCGGCCCGCAGCGCGCCAAGCCGCCTGCAGGCCGACTCCGCCTCGATCAGCAGCAGTCAACATCGAATCCGGAAATCGGATCGAACCGTCGTCTGCGCCGGATCGGGCCGCATCAGGGAGCCGAACTCGAATCGGATCGGCTGCACCTGGACGTGCAATACGATTATGTAGGCATTGTGAGCCGCATCGGATCGCTGGGATATCGGCACCGAATGGGATCGAGCCGGCCGAAATCGATACCGAATCGGAGGAGGAGGAGGAGGAGGAGGAGGAGGAGGAGGAAGAGGAGGAGGAGGAGGAGGAGGAGGAGGAGGAGGAGGGGGAGGAGGAGGAGGAGGAGGAGGAGGAGGAGGAGGAGGAGGAGGAGGAGGGAGGAGGGGGAGGAGGAGGAGGAGGAGGAGGAGGAGGATGAGGAGGAGGAGGAGGAGGAGGAGGAGGAGGAGGAGGAGGAGGAGGAGGGGGAGGACGAGGAGGACGAGGAGGAGAAGGAGGAGGAGGAGGAGGAGGATCGACGTGGGCCCTGCCTCGAGCAGCAGCAGCAGGGTCGCCACGAGCGCCAGGGCCAGCAGGGCCCGGCCCCGGGCGCCCAGCGCGCGCAGGCTCCAGCGGGCCTCGTCCGCGGCGGTGCAGACCCGCAGGTGGCGGGCGCGGACCAGGTGGTGCTTGCCGGCCACCTCTCTGGAGGGGCCCAGGGTTTGTGCTGCTCCCATCGTACTTGCAGACCCACACCCCAGAAAGAATGTCAAGCACCCGGAAAAGTGTCGAAGGAGTGTCGGACGAGTGTCGGGCGAGTGTCTCTCTGTAGGAGGCAACTGCTGGGAGGTTTTCGCCGGAAAGACTAAGGAGACTTCAGCTCCATTTGGGAGCTATTACGGATTGAGCGGGATTAAGCCGGATGCAGCGGTATTCAGCGGGATTATAAACGAGATTAAGCCGGACTTCGGACCAGTGCAAAATCAGGTTTTGACCTCCCAGGAGTTGCATCCCAACTCTCTAAAGGGCGTAGGAACGCACAAATGAAATGGGCAAGCAAATCCGAGGACTCTCCATACCCAGACCCCCTCGCGCTGCGAAAGGATCACGACGGGAGGTGTTTCTATATTTTCAGCCTCTAAGGGCCCGCACCGGACCCTGGCACCGTCAAAAACGACTCAGGATAAAAAACCAGTCCCGGGGACGTCTGGGGCTCGACGTCATGAAAAAATCATGACGCCGGGGGTCTGGGAAGACGGCCTGGGCCGAGGCGGCTGCGGAAGCGGGAGGTCGTCGCCGAAGGGGCCCAGGGACACAATAATAGATGGGCACAAAGCCAAGGATTCCCCCTGCCTTACATAGCTTCTGGATGCTCGTCTTCCCTCCCATCTATTCCAAGAGATCCGATGTCGTGTTTTTTTCAATACGGGGTCCCTGGAAGTCTCGACCCATGCCCAAGCACCGGTTTCTCGTCCTGAGTCGTTTGTGTTACGGTCCCGGGGCCCAACGAGGGCCCCTAGATGCCAAACATTACGAAAAACGTCCGTCTTCACTATTCAATGCCTTGGATCTTTGGGCGTCCTGGGGAATCGACGGTGCTTCGTGCCTGTGGGATGTTTCCCTCCGCCCGACCCTCGTCGGACGAGGATGGTGCAGGGGCCGACGTCCGAACATGACGATAGGCCTACCACGAGATGACTTCAGAAGGAATGAATACGCTTAGGTCGGGCCCGTCCCCCTAGAGGCGGATTTTGGACGAAAAATAAAAATACTCAAAGAACGCTCAAACATAGTCAAAACATACTAAGCAAATTCGTCCCAATACTATTTTTTACTATTCTTGAGTATTCCTCCTGTAGGGGGACAGGCCCGACTTAAGAATAAGCTGTGACAGAAATAACTTCGTCGTAACATTTCACATGTTGCTGAAGGGGGCCCATGGACACACAGGTAAATCGACACAGATCCTAGGATTCCCAATCTTTTCGCATGTTTGTTCTGGATTTCCGTTCCCCCCAACTTCCCATAGTTTCCCATCTTTTCCTGGGGATCGACAACGAATTGTGTCTGTGTGTTGATTTTCCTCCTGAACTGATTGCAACCAGGCTGCCTCAGCCAGAGATAGTGTAAGAAGAGTGCGTTCAATCCGCACCAGGCCATCATAACACTTAGTTCTGGTGGCCTGCAGGCACGTCAGGACATAAATCGCCTGCCCTAGGGCGGCTGGAAGGATTCCTGCCCTAGGGCGCCGCCAGTCCTCCGCAGCGGTCCGCTGCGGAGGACTGGCGGCGCGCAGAAGGGGGTAGGGGAAGGGGGGGCGCCTTCGTAGGAGGCTGCTTCTTCGAGGCTGCTTCTTAGAAGGCGCCGGCCATACATCTACAGATAAGGCCAGCGCCTTCTAAGAAGCAGGGGCGCTTCTAAGACGCCTCCCCCCCTCCCCCTACCTACCCCTCTCTGCGCGTGGCCGATCAATCTTGAACCTATCGGCCGTTTCCGAAACCTCCGATCGTCCAACATCGCCCGACTCTGGGTCGCCGGCAGCGTTTCACCCTGAGATCCGGCGTGTCACAAAAAAATAGGCGCCGTGAAAAATCGTGCAATGCTTCGAGCTGGATCGAGCTGTGAGGGTCCCGGAGCCTGAATTTTCGCGAAAACGCTCGGATCGAACAAAATTGCGTCGCCAGGATCTCACGGAAGCTTGCGCGCCTGCGGCCGGGCCGCCGCTGTGCGACACGCGACGCGAACCGACAGCGGGTGTGCCGTGCCGCCCCCCGCCCGCCAGTGGCCTCGACGAGCCAGGAGCCGCCGCTGGCCCGACAGGCCAGCAACCCGAGGTGGCTGTTCAGGGGCGCGAGCTTCTCCTTCGCAGGAGCACGGAAGGGCGACAGCAACGCCAACAGGGCGAGGAGATGCGAGGAGGCAGGGGGGGAGCTCCCTGGCGGTGTGGTCCCCCCGTGTCGCTCGAGACACCCCCAGCCTCCAGCTCGGAGAGGCATCGTGGACCTCCTGGCTGGCGGTGGGCCCCCTGGTGGTGCTGCCATCGCTTCTCCTCCCTCCGACCTCGGCGCCCTGCCGCCACAGCCCCGCCAGCCGCACCTGGTCGCCTGGCTGGCACGCCCGGCTCGGGGAGCTCGGGCATAGGACGCCCAACCCAGACCTCCTCGCGCGGTGAGAAAAGCACGGCGGGAGCTCTTTCGCCAGTTTCGGCCTCTGGGGGCCCTTCCCGGGCCCCGCGACCATTAAACAACGACTCAGGATGAGAATCTCGAAACTGGTGCCCGGGAAGGGGTCCAGACCACTGGGGGTCGACGTTGTGAAGAAATCACAACGTCGGGGGCCTGGGAAGAAGCACGTGTTTGGGTGACCCAAAAGGGGGTCCAGCTGCAAGGGGGTGGTGAAATAGATATGGGGCAATTGGACTGCAAATGTATTGCGCCGGAGAATTGTCTCGCATTGCATTGCAACGAATGCATTGCACGCGGAAATCCAGCAATGCATTTGCGCCCAGGAATGTATTGCACGCCCCAAATGTACTGCAATCCCACAAATCTATTTTCGAGGCGGGGGTTTATCCTTATCCACCGCCTGGGAACCGACGTCCTGGTGCCCCAGCGGGCGGCGGATGTGGATATATGTCGTCCCTCGGGGGCCCGAACATGTCCATATCCACCGCCTGCCGAGGCTCCGAAAACTGACCCGCCAGGCGGTGGTCGTGTATAAATTCCCGCCTCGGACTGCCCATCGGTCGGAAGAAGTAGGTAGAAACATGAAGCAGGAAGGCGTTGGAAATAGATTGGGTCTCCGCCCGCCCCCCGGAGAGGAGGGCAGAGGGAACACAGCCCGACCCTTCAAGTAGGAAGGCGGCGGAAGTAGATTGGAACCTGGGAATCCCCAAATACCTACTTTCAACGCCCCAATGGTATTGCACCAAGTCTATTGCACCACCCCCTGGTCCCTGGGCCCCCTGGGTCAACCCGAGCATGCGTGGGGCCCGCAGAATCGGCAACGGCCGACGACGGGCGGGCGGCTCTCTGCCTTCCGTGGGCACAGCGGATCCGCGGCGACACCGGCAGCGAATCCGGCTCAGACCTCCGACGGCGTGTTTGTTTTGTTTCGCGACGTCTGGGCCCATTCCCCGGGACCGGCTTCCCATCCCAGAGATCCAACGCATTGGGAAAATCCAAGCCTTAAGGTGTTTCTCGATGTTCGGCCTCTCGGGGCCCTCGCCGGGCCCCGGGACCGACGGAAAACGACTCAGTATGAAAAGTCGGTCCTGGGAAATGGGTCGAAACTTCTGGGGGGTGCGTCTTGAAAACATCAAGACGTCGGGTGTCTGGGATCCTGAATTGTGTTTCCTGACGGTCCCGAGGTCCGGCGAAGGCCCCTGGAGGCCAGAAGTAAAACAAAAAACTCCCGTCGTGTTTTTTCACAGCGCGAGGGGGTCTGGGGTAGGGGTAGGCACTGCTCTCGGTTTTTGCGCGTATTTCGATCGTACCGAGGAGGAAAAGGAGGAGGAGGAGGAGGAGGAGGAGGAGGAGGAGGAGGAGGAGGAGGAGGAGGAGGAGGAAGAGGAGGAAAAGGAGGAGGAGGATTTGTTGTTGTGTTCCCTGTGGGCGCCGAGCACGCTGCACTATGCACGAGCCTCACTCCCTCGAATGAGGAAGCCCAAATCTGCGAGAGCCCAGCTCTGCAGAACCACCTTTGCGCGTTCTGTGCGCGTGTGCTTTGTTCGCTCGAAGCGACTTCGCCGCTCCTTGGTCATCAGGTCCATCACGAAACCTTGCTGGCGGGCTGGACAGTGTTCTGCCAGCCTGATCGGCACAAACTGCGCGTACTGCGCACACTGGGAACAGTACAACAAGAAGTCGCCTTGCTCCGCAGGCGCGCCACTGCGCCTGATGATCGCGCCCCACGGAACATGCGAGACTGCGTCCTGCCGCAGCCGTCGCCAGCTCGGGGGCGCCTCGCGCCCGCACTCGGAGGCCATCCCAACCTTCCAGCTTCGAAACCGTGCAAGCACTGAGCGCACCGCCAGCGGCCGTCTGTCACCTCGCGCAGCTCGCGCTGGAGAAAGCACTGTCTGACTACCGACGGGGGAGAAGCACGCGGGGGCAGGTTGATCCATTCCACCTTGGGCGCTGGCCCACTCGCCAACACCCGCCCCAGGTTCAACAGGCCACGGCGCACCTCGGCACGCGCGCTCTCCGAGCCCACCTCGTCCCGGGCATGCCTGGGCCACAAGGTGGGCGCCTGCTTGGCCGCGTCGTCAGCCCACGCGTTGAGGGCGACCCGCCACTCACCCTCGCTCTGAGGGGCGGCTGGGACGTCCTGGTGGGACTAGATCTTGAGACGCGCGCTATGCGTGAGGTCTCCGCGCCTGACTCGGCGCCAGAGCCCAGCGTCAACTCGCGCTGGACTAGCGGTGCACACGCGCCCGCTCGCTCTGGCAGCCAGCGCCGCTGCGTTGTCGCCGATGTAGGCTGGCGACCGGTCTGATCATTGAGCCCCAGGGCAGAAGGCCTGGAGCTCAGCCGCATGTGCAGTAGGAGGGAGCTGGGAGGTGAGAGACCCGAGGAGCTTGCGAACGACCCCGCCCCCCGCCCCCAGCTGCGCAATCGCCCGCCCCGCCCGGCGAACATCCTCGAGGCGGCTGGCGGCGGCCAAGCCATCTCCATGGCCGAGCCATCTCCCGCCAGCGGCTGGTCTGGGCGAAACGCGAAGCGATTCAGATCAACAGTCACATCGTTCTCAAAGGCCCGCACGATCCTCTCCGCTGGCGCGCAGGGGAGGCCCACTTCGGGCCTGACAAGCAAAAGCGGCGCTCCAGGACAGAAGAGCCAGACATCCTTCTCGCCCTCGCGCCGCCGTCGCTGCAGGAGGGGGGAGGTGGCGTCACTTTTGCTTGGCCCTCAGCACAGGCCACGCACGCACACTCCGAGGCGGCGGGCCAGGTCGTCGGCCACCCCGCAGCGCCGACAGGCGCCTGCACTCTCGCCGTAGCCCCACTCGACCGTCTTCGCTCCCGTGAGGTAGGTGCCGCCCATGACGGGGGTGATGGCCCACTTCTCGAGCGGTGCGAGGTGCTTGGGCCCATCGTTTTGGCCACCACCTCCGACCACACGTTGGGGGGGTCCTGCTCGCTCAGCCCTTCGCGGCGCCTGACGCTGCTGGTGGCCTTCTCCCGCACGCGGTCGACGACATCCTTTCCATGCGCTTCGAGGCGTACTCTAGGGCTGCGCCGATGGGCCCGCCTCCGCCATGCCGTCTAGTTTGTCCTGCAGGGCCTGCTCGAAGACTCGCCTGAGCGCGGTGATGGGCAGCACCTTGCAATGGCGGTGGCGCTGGCCGGTCGCCCTCCCCCACTCCTCCAGATGCCTGCCCAGCGGCATGAAGGCTGCCTTGCCCATTGGGACCAGCTCGGGGTGGATGGCACCGAAGACGTCGGGCGACATGCGGCCGTGCCCGTATACCTGCTCAGCGATGCGCCCGAGCCCCCAACTCCTGGAGCGCGAAGCCGCTGGCCACGCCCCGCCACCTCTTCATGAGCAGAATCGCGGAGTACAGGATGCGCCTGGTCTTGCTGTAGGCCTTCATGGCACGAAAGCCCATCGCCATCCTCAGCTTCACCGCCTTCCACCTGGCCCCTCGCACAGGCCCTGGGTGGATGCTTCGCGCGACTGACCCGCGTCGTCGCTGGCCCGCGCAAAAGTCAGCTCCAAGGTGGCGGACCACTGGGGCAGGCCTGCCTGGCTGTCGACGAAGTTGCCGACGCTGACACTTCCCCTGGCCCCGCCGCGATGTCTGCCGGCCTTGGGGAGGCCGAGCCCTGCTGCGTAGTCTTCGCTTGCCCTCGTGCGTGAGCTCGTCGCTATTTCCCGGGATGGCGCCCTTCGCGTCGGCCGCCTGCATCTCGAGCTCGGCATGCAGCACGCTCTTGAACCCGCGCGCGGCCTGCGCCAGGATGTCCACGCGCGTGGCGCTGTTGCGCGCAACCACCTCTTGGCTGAAGTCGTCTACGTGGACGGCGATGCCTACCTCTGGGTGGACTTCGGGCTTCGGCTTGCGCCTTCAGCTAATCCGGCAGGCATGCCTGAGGCGCGCAGGTCGCCGAGAAACATCCTGCAACGATGCCGCTCTCAGGGTGTCAGGGGCTCGCCTGCCACGCCGTCGGGCACGAGGGCGCGTCGCCGCCTGGAAGCCCCGATGACCGCCCTGAAGATGCGCCGCGGGGGCCGCGCCTGGCAACCGAGGCGGCTCAGGATGGCGTGGGAGACTTTCTCGAATGCCCTGGCCAGGTCCCGCAGCAGGATGAAGCAAACCATTTCCCCCCCTGTCGCGTCTTCGGCCCGCGCCGCCGCCCGCCGCGCGCAGTCCGTGACCTTGCGGGAGGTGCCCGTGTTGAGGGTGCACTTCTCGTCCAGGTGGTTCTGCCAGACGCGGGCCTGCCCTTTGCGGCACCTGCCCCGCACTCGGCGCAGGCTCTTGAACTGCTCAATGGGTCGCCGACATCCCGCTGGTTTGGCGTACTGGGCGGTCAGCATCTCCTGCTCGCCGGCTTGGAACACCCCCGCCTCGGCGATGACGTTGAGCAGCTGGGTGGGCGGCCCCGCGTCACTGAGCCATTCCAGGTGGCGTGGGCGGATCCCGCCAGGCTGGCAGGTCTTGGCCTCCAAGGGCGCTGACCTTGCTCACTTGCATCGCGGTGAGGAGGTGCTCGCGGCGCTGGTGCCCATTGGTCTCGATGGCGGCCGTAGTAGCTGCGCGCAGGGAGACGGAGATCTCGTCGGGCTTGTCGGGCGGCCTGGCGTTCCACGCCGTGGCCCACTCCTGCTGCTGCTGGGTGGGGGGGGCCACCGGGCACGCGCGGCGATCCTGGATGCGCTCGACCTTCCCGTCCACGACCTCTGCCGCACCTTCGCCGGGGTCTTTCGTTCACACGCGTAGCTTGGGAGCTCGTCGTAGGTGATCCTCGGCCAGTGCTTCACGCCAGCTCTTGACCTGCCTGCCACGTCGTAGGCCGCCGAGGATGCTCTTCCCCACCTGCCCCGCGAGCCTGGACACGAGCTCGATCTCCCCGATGACGGTGTCGACGTTCTTGCTGCGCCTGTCCTCGTCCAGCGGCGCCGCGGCCGCGGGCTGCTGCGAGCGCACTTCATCTGCGTCACTGACCTGGTGCGACAGCGCTGTGGCTAGCTGCGCCTTCTTGGGGGGGGGGGGGCCTCAGGGCGCTCCCTGAGCTGCCCCTCTTCCCCCCCCCCCCGCCTATCGCGCCGCCCCTGGGGCTGTCGACGCCCCGTCTGCGCTGCCTCTCCAGCGGCGGCGCGCTCTCCCAGCCTCGCGCCAGCGGCGGCCCACGGGCGGGCCCGCGGGCCCGCGGCGCTCGGGGTGCCCGCGGGCACCTCGAAACCCTCTGGAAATGCCGAAGTTGAACCTCGCCAGCTGGGTACACCGACAGGCTCTTCGTGCACGTCGCCCCCCCCCCCCAGCGCGCTCCCGATCTGCTCGGAGGTGGCCTGGGCCAGGTGGCGCCACTCTTCGCAGTCGTTCAGGGTGTGGTACGCATGGCAAAACTTCCTTGTGTGCTGCGCGGCGGTGCGGCACGCCTGGGTGGCCCCTCGTAGCCTTCTGCAGTAGATGTCGGTCTGCTTTGAGCCCTTGCCGCTAGCGCCATATACTCGAACTGATGCTGCGCCAACCCCCTGATCTGTCGTAGATGCCTTGTCAGCCAAGTCAAGGCTCTGCCTGGCGTGGCCTTGGTGTTGTCCCTGGTGACCCAGACCGAGGGCTGCGGGGCCTGCTTGAATTTGAAGGGGCCTCCCCACAGCTACATGCCCGCGGCATCTTGGTCCACGGTGCCCTGGAAGTCGGTGCGCGCGGCGTCTGGCCACGTAGCGTGCGCGTTGTCGACGGCCTTCTGCTTTTCGTTCAGAATGAGCCCTGGGAGGTCCAGGCTCTTGTGCGATCTGGCGGTCTCGATCTGGCTGTCGCCCCTGTCGGGCGGCTGCAGCCTCGGCCCCGCTGGGCAGGTGGCGGGCGTAGACGCCGCACTGCGCGGTACCTTGACCATGGGCCACTCGGCCTTGCGCTCCGCCTGCACCCTGACGGCGTCGCGAGTGGCCGGGCCGAGGGAAGGGTCGACCCTGGTCCGCTGCATTGCGGCTCCTGCGCGTCCACCTGTGACAAAACAGTCCCTGGCCGCATGGGCCCCTCCGCTGGCGTTGCAGGTCGGGTCGTTCGGGATGTGCACCTGGTGTCCTGGTCCACGGAACCCCGCGAAGCTGGCCTGGTCGTCGGGGTCCACGTTCCAGTCCCCGCCCATGATCCAGGGGAGGCCGTGCCGCGCCTGGTGCTCCGTGAGCTTGCGCGGGATGTCGATGCTCTGGCCCTGGGGCCCGATGCCCACCTCCAAGTAGACAGAATAAAGCGCGACCACGCCAATCCCAGGCAGACGAGCGCACCCAACGCACGCTCTCCCTGGCCACTGAACCTGGTCCTTCGGGTCTTACCAGAAGTCGGTGCACCTCTCGGCAAGCGCGGCGGCGCCCCCCTGGCGCTCCGCGTGCTTGACGGCGGCGGGCGAGAACGACATAGCCCATCCTTGTTTCCCCAGAGTGCGCCTGATCTCCAGGAGTCGTCCCCGGGACTGTCTGCGTTCTTCGCGAACAAGATGGCGCCGGGGATCCGCTGCAACATGTCGCATCCAGATCCCGAGGAGGCCATGTTGTGCGTGACAGAACTGCAGCGCTGGTGCTTGACCCCCCCCCCCCCCCCCCGGAGGAGCTCGCAAAGGAAAGCGTCTCATCAGCAGCCAGGGGCCTTCTTCCTTTGCTAAACCCGCCGCCGCTTCCTGGCCGTGCCCAGGCGCACGACGAGTTCCTCGAGGGCCCACTTGCTGTCCTGGGAGCTGCACGCCTTGGGGATATCCTCGAAGTCGTTTTCGTCCAGGTCGGACTCCATGGGCGCGTTGACCTCTTGGGCCGCGTCAGCGCCGCCTTCGGCCTCGGACTTAGCGCTGGCCACCCATGCCTGGTGCTCAGTAAGCAGTTTCGCCACCATCTCCACTACAGATAATGCAGGATGACGATCGTGCTTGAACTGTCAGGAAAGCGATGCAACAAAAACGCAGCTTCTTTGATTATAAATGATTGTTTTCACGGGAACAGGACGATTGAACAATGTCTATTACACGTCGGCTTCGGATATTGCGTCGGGTACTCATTTTACGGCGTCGCCAAAGTTTACGTTACATGTCACGCCAGCTTTACATTCTACGTCACATACTCGTCGGCTTCGAACTTTTACGTCAAATACTCGTTCTACGTCGGCTTCATACATTATGTAGGATGCTCATTTGACGTTGTAGTCAAACGTTGCATCAAATACAACATCCACGTCGACATCACGTTTACAATGAAATATAGAAATGTCACGGCGGTTTCGTATTTACGCAACGTAAGCCGGCCATTCTACGTCGGTTTTAATAACCGAGGGCGGCGGGAGGGAAGCGATTAAAGACGCAATTTCCCAGCCCGCGGCCGGCATTTTCGAATCATCCGCCGGGGCGCCGCCGACGCAACACGACCCCTGGACATTAATCGCCATCCTGCATTACCTCCAGGGAGACTGCCTCGGGAGCCAGGGCCAGGAAGCGCCGAGCCTGTGCCTGAGCATCGTCCAGGGTGTTCGGCTAACCCAGCGGCATGGCACGCACCATGGCGTGGTTAAGCATAGTCTCGAGCTCCGCGATGTTGGCGATGGCCTGCGTGATGGCGGTCATCTGGCTGTCGACGGCGGCCCCGGCCTCCACGATCAGCTTCTGAGCTGCGGCGACGTCATGTTGCTTGCCCACAAGGTCTGCCTCGAGCTGCGCGCGTCGGGCCTTGGCGTTGTCCAGCTTGGCGCCGAGCGAGGTGACCTCGGCATGCGGCCCCCTGATGGCGACCCTGCGGTGCTTGAGCTTGGCGAGGTTCTGCTCAAGGCTTGCTACGTCGATGCCTCCTGAGCGGAGGGTGGGGATCGTCTTCTCGAGGCTGACGATCTTGGCCTCCACCTCCTGGAGCTCAGGGTCGACGGCTGGGGCTGCAGCTACGGCATCAGGTGCTGCGCCATCAGCTCCAGGGCGCTCGGAATGGAGTTGCTAGAGGTGGCCGGCCACAACCCCACCAATGGTGAACCGCTCGAGCACTGCCGTGAGCGTGGCGATGTTGGCTTCGAGGCGCTGGTGCCCTGCAATGCCTCCGACAGCGCCTTCTGCAGCAGGGCACGCACGTGATTTGGCCCTGGGTCGGGCAGCACGGCTTTCCCGCTGGGCCACCACCTCCTGGTTGGCCTGCTGCGCCTTGCGGATGATGTGCGGCGGGGCGTCGCGGCCGCAGAAGCTCACCACCCTGTTGGCCCACAGCCCGTCTTGGCGGCAGCCAGGGCACCTCCAGAAGGGCTTCGTAGGTCCCAGCAGCACTTTGCGGTTGCCAGCGCCAGGAGCAGCAGCATTAAGAGGTTTCGGCGGCATGACCGCGGCCTCGACGTGCTCGCCGTGATGCCCGCGGAGGGCCACCCGGGCCCTCGCCAGCCGCAAGGCGTGGCGGGCACTGGCCCGTCGCCTCCGCAGCTTCCCGTGCCAGGCCGGCGACCGCGAGCGAGACCTCCCGCACGGGATGGCGGCGGCGCCGCCTCGGCGCGCCGCGCCAGGGGCGCAGCGCGGCACCGCAGGCCCGTGATTGCGGCGGGCCCGCGGCGGCTGGGGGCTCGGTGCGAGCGGGCCCTCCCAAAGGGCCGCGGCAACGAGCCACCTGTAGAATTAAGAGGAGGAGGAGGAGGAGGAGGAGGAGGAGGAGGAGGAGGAGGAGGAGGAGGAGGAGGAGGAGGAGGGGGAGGAGGAGGAGGAGGAGAAGGAGGAGGAGGAGGAGGGAGGAGGAGGAGGAGGAGGAGGAGGAGGAGGAGGAGCTTTGTGCCCATGTCGATCGTGGCGAGCCTGCCGCCCACCCCGAGTCGTCCACGAGCGAAGGCGCCAGGCCCAGGCTGCGCGGCTGCAGGCTGACCACCCTGCCCTCGTCGAGCCGCACCTCGAAGCGGCCCTTCGCCTCCACGAAGCGCAGCACGGTGCCCTCCTCCCAGTGCGCGGCTTTCCCCGGGGGCCGTAGGCGACCCGAGGAGGAGGAGGAGCAGGAGGAGGAGGCGGAGGAGGGGGAGGGGGAGGAGGAGGAGGAGGAGGAGGAGGAGGAGGAGGAGGAGGAGGAGGAGGAGGAGGAGGAGAAGGAGGAGGAGGAGGAGGAGGAGGAGGAAGAGGAGAGGAGGAGGAGGAGGAGGAGGAGGAGGAAAACGAGGAGGAGGAGGAGGAGGGAGGAGAAGGAGGAGGAGGAGGAGGAGGCGGAGGAGGTGGAGGAGGAGGGAGGAGGGAGGAGGTGGAGGAGAAACTGTCGACCTCTCCGACCCCATCGAACTATGAACAAATCACGACGGGAGATGTTTCGCAATTTTCGGCTTCGGGGGGCCCTCGCCGGGCCCCGGGAGCGTCAGAAAACGACTCAGGATGAAAAATCGGCCCCGGGGAAAGGGTCGGGACTCCCGGGGGCGCAATCCTGACAAAAACAAGACGTCGCATGTCTGGGGAGGGAGATCACGAGCGGAGACCGTATGCAGATACCAGAAGCTCCAAAACATCGGAGCGGCCAATGTGGGGCTATCTTCGGCCTCCGGGGCCCTTGACGGAACCCTATAGACCGTCAAAAACGCATTGACAAGATGGCCCTGGAGAAGTTGTCCGCACCTCGGGGGGTCCACGCATCGAATATATTAGAGCACCAGAAATCTGGGTATCGATCCACGCCTCGCGGTATGGATTCGGGGGCGCAATCCCGCGCATGCGCGGTCGCATGGATACGTTCCGCGCGGAACATCCACGAAAGAACGCCCCGTATCCGCGGGGTCGCGGATCAGGGGCCCGGCCCGCGAGGCCGCGGATACGGGCCCAAACATCCGACGTCGTGAAGTTTGATACAAAATAGGAAGTCCCGACCCTTCCCGGAGGCCGCGGACGGAGCGAGCGGCTCGGGGGCGGACGGAGCGAGCGGCTCGGGGGGGACGGATCGCTCCCCGTGGTCGCAGAAACAGGTACAGCGGGGTCCGATCCACATGGAGCGAGCGGCTCAGGGGGGACGGATCGCTACCTGTGGTCGCAGAAACAGGTACAGCTGGGCCCGATCCAAAAGAAACCTTCCTCAAGAAACCCAACGCTGCGACCCAGGGCGCCGATTCAGTTTTGGTGTGGGAACTTCACGCTTTCCATAACGAAACCATCGAAACCCAAGACACCCAGGACATCCTGGAGGCAAGCAGGGTGGTCTTGGCATGGGCCCCCACTGTAGTCCCAGCTGACCTCATCTCGGGGGGTGGACAAAACACCCTTTCGCAAAACGCCCTCGCGTGAAAAGTTCCAACTGCACTCCACGTGCACACGGCTCCGCCTTCGAGATGGGCCTGGGCTGGGTAGCAAATCGACGTCCAAACAACGAGCAACAGATCGGGCAACACACCAGTCGATCAGCCAAACCGACTGGGGACGCCGATCAGCACCCGTTTCTCGAATGCCAACGTCGACTGAACTGGTGCCGATTTAGTCGACTTGTTCGGGTGAACCGACCAGAAGGCCCCCCGAGTAGCCCAGAACGGTCTAAACACCTCAACCTTAAGTCCGGCGTGTCCCCCTACAGGAGCATTCTCGACGAAGAATTAAAAATACCCCAACCTTGCTCCTCAATGGTCCAAACATATTTTTAAAATAGTCCCCAGACTAGTTTCTTAAACTACTTTCGAATATTCCCCCTGTAGATAGGGCGACGAGATCTATGCATATCCACTGCTCCTGGCCAGGCCCATCCTGGGCCCAGGAGCGGTGTATATGCCTCCCTGGCCAAGCCAGGAGGGCGTATACACAGCTCTTGGGCCCAGGATTGGCCTGGCCGGGAGCAGTGGATATGTATAGATATCGTCGCCCTATGTAGAGGGACAGGCCCGACTTAACCTCAACCCTGGGGCGCGCAGCGCTCCGCGCAGCGCCCCACGGGGCGCCGCAGGAGGCGACGGCCACACGGCAGGCTCGTGCCGCGCCGACGCCGGCGCTGGTTCCTGCCGCCGCGGGGATCGTGCGACCTCGAACGATCGGCCGTTTCTGAAGGGGCCTTGGGACACACAAATAAATGCACACAAATAACAGGATCCCCCACACTTTCCCATATTTTCTGGGTTTATGTATTCCCCCCACTTCCCATATTTTCCTATATTTTCCTGGGAATCGACGATTCATTGTGTCTGTGGGTTTTTCCCCTCCTGAAGAACCCCAGAGATCCGGTGTCTCGATTTTTTTCAATACGGGGCGCCCCCAGAAGTCTCGACCCATTCCCCAGGACCCAGGACCAGCTTCTCATCCCGAGCCGTCCTTCGTCGGCCCCTGGGCCCCGCGAGGGCCCCGAGAGGCCGAACATCGAGAAGCACCATCGTTTTTTTGATTTTTTTCAAATACGCACGTTGGATGTCTGGGGCGCTAAACTTCGACCGATTCTGGGCCGCCGCCGGCGTCAACCGTGGGACGCCCGCGGCGGGGCCGCCGCCGGTCGACACGACGCGAACCTATACCGCACTCTGTCGGGGGGCCGGTGGAGGCCAGCACCCGGGCCGCAGGCCCCCGACGTCGTGATTTTCTCGCGGAGCTTATAGGTCGGGCGTGTCCTCCTGCAGGCGGAGCTAGGAGGAGGAAAGGGAGGAGGAGGAGGAGGAGGAGGAGGAGGAGGAGGAGGAAGAGGAAAGGGAGGAGGAGGAGGAGGAGGAGGAGGAGGAGGAGGAGGAAAGGGATGAGGAGGAGGAGGAGGAGGAGGAAAGGGAGGAGAGTCAACCACACAAAAAAAACAAGAGTCAGCAGAACTGCTCGACACAGCGTCCCCGGACCATGCATGTACTGTTCTTGGACATCCCCGCTGGAGAGCCTACAGGGACCTGCCCGACGTGATGTGAAACCTCGCCCCCCGAGAGGCCTCGGCACCTGCCCCGGGACCAGTTGCCGCATCCCGAGTCGCTCTTTTCGACGCCCCGGAGGCTCGGCAAGGGCCTCTTGGCTGCCCCAGATGCAGCCGGCCCGCATCATGGAATCATAGAAGGAGGCGCAGTGAGGGCGCAAGGGCCTGGGGAAGGCCACGCCGAAGCTTCTCGAGCGGGGCGCGGCCGAGGAGAGCGGCCAAGAGGATGGGCCGAGGTGGCGAGGAGGATGCAAGGGCATCCTCTGGGAAAGCTACGCGTCCTTCCTCTGCGGTATGCGGGTTGGCTGTGGCCAGAAACCTCCCGTCACGATCTGGTCACGATGCGAAGGGGGTCTGGGTGTGTGCACAGCCCGATTTTTTTGGCCGCGGCACGGGCGCGACGTGCCCGCGGCTCTCCTGCCCGTTCAGCTGCCTGCCCTCCGGCGACTCGAGGCCCGAGACGACCACCTGCGCTGGGAAAGGAAAAACGGGACCTGCGCACGGTGACGCAGCGACCTTCCCGGACACCCGCGGGTCATGAACAGAAACCCAGGCGCTAAGCTTTTCCCTATCTTCGGCCTCCATGGGGGCCCTTCTATCCGGCCTCAGGACCGCCAGCGACACTCCCAGACCCCCGACGTCATGATTTTTTCATGACGTCGGCCCCCAGCGGTCTGGACCTATTCTCCGTGACCGGTTCCTCATCCTGAGTCGTTTTTTGACGCTCCCGGACCTGGGAAGGGCCCCCGGAGGCTGAAAATAGTGAAAAACCTCCCGTCGCGAATTTTTCACAACGTGAGGGGGTCTGGGCTACGCAGGATGAAGAGCCGGTCCCGGGGAGGCGGGGTTCGATGAGCCTCTGGGGGTCGACGCCGTTAAAAAATCAGGGCGTCGGGGGCCTGGGTTCTCCGCCTCCTCCTCCTCCTCCTCCTCCGCCTGCTCCTCCAACTCCCAACTCTCTCCTCCTCCGCGTTCCTCCTCCTCCTCCTCCTGGGCCCTCTGGTCCCTCGCCCAGCTGTCAACCGCTGTGGGCCTGTCGCCTGCTTGCTCCGGAACCGCTCGTCTTGGGAGCGCGAAACCCAGACCCCCTCGAGTCATAGAAAAACAAATCATGACGGAAAGTGTCTCTATATGCTCAGCCTCGGCGGGCCCTCACCGGGCCTCCTGGCTGTCAAAAAAAACCATTCAGGTTGAGAGACCGGTCCTGGGGAATGGGCTCAGCCCTCCATATAGGGGTCGACGCCATGAGAACATCACGACGTCGGGGGTCCGGGAGCCAGGTCGGCGAGGAGAAGGAGCGGATCCCACGCGAGACGACCTGGCCTTACGCCGTGGCCTGTGCGCGGGCCGCCAGCGCGGCGCGCGACACTGGAAGCCAGGGCGCTCTCGCGCAATCCTCACTACCGCGGCATCCGAAGCCTGCATGTTTTTTTCCACGCGGGGCCACCAGAAGCAGTCCCGACCCCTTCCACTGAGCCAGTTCTCGCCCCGAGTCGCTCTGGGACGGTCCGTGGAGGCCCGGCGAGGGCCCGCGGAGGCCGACACCGGCCACAGCAAAACTCTGAGAGTCAGTTCTTACCTTTGGCGCCCAAAGTATGCGGGCTACCTCGGGGCCTCGGGTTTGGCTTCCCGACAAACGAACCCGAGTTGGCCCTGACCCGAACCACCCCTGATGATTTGTGGCTCTGGACGCCCGAATTATCCAGGGTAGCTCGGGCCCAGGGTGACTCGGGTTCGGATTCCGGCAAAACGAGCCCGAGCTCGCCCTGACCCGAGTTACCCTTGATGACTCGGGGCTCTGATTAGAGTGAAGGGGGTTGAACGGTCATTCATTGGCCCCGTGTGCGTGGCTGAATAACGAACTCGTGGTGATAATTCTGCTTGTTGCGTTCTTGAGTGTTAATTATTGAGCAATTATTGTTGTTGGACGCCTTAAAGGCGTTTTGGCGCTCTCGCCTCGGCGCCAGCTGCATGTTAATTGAAAATGCGGCTCACGCTCGAGCACTTTGGGGGACCGCCAAAACCGGCCCCCCAACAACAACAACAACAACAACAACAACAACAACAACAACAACAACAACAACACCAACAACAACAACAACAACAACAACAACAATTTTAAGGCTGTACGCTCTTACTTGCCCGCGAGTCATTCAACACGTATACCCTACACCCTCGATGCCCGCCCTCTTCGTCTTCGATCACACCCCTTTCGGGGGGATTATTTCTCTTTGCTGGGGACGGCGGGCTTAGACGTACGGGCAAACCGGAACGGGCGGACAATCCTTCGGGGGCGTACATCTCTCTGCCCGCCATTGGAATTGGCGCGGGCCCTGCAAGAGGAGGAGGGGAAGAACGAGGGAGAGTGGGAGGAAGGGGAGGGGGAAGGACGAAGGAAGAGGGAAGATACCACGTTGTGAAGGCGTCCTTTTCTATTGTTTTTTCGCAAGGGAAAGCGGATTACAACAAAACAACCGGATCCTGTACACACCCTCTTTTCTGAGGCTTCCTCACGAAAATGATGAAAATGTAGCTGCGGCCTAGGCGGCGCAGGGGGGGCGCGCACCAGGGGGCCCAACAATCTTCCTTTTTTACTCAGGGCTGATGTTCTTGTTCGCCGCGGAAAGCCACCGTCCTAACAAAACCAGCGCTCCCGCTCGAGACTTCCTCCCGTTTTACCTTGAACTGGCGCGTTTGTTTTTCTCTCATCGGCGCCGCCCCCATCAAAAACAACGCTCCCGCTCGAGGTTTCCTCCCTTCTTACTCAAGGCGGTGCTCCTCCTCGCCGCCGAAAGCCGCCGCCCCGACAAAACCAGCGTTCCCGCCCGATACTTCCTTCCGTTCCTGGGCCGGCGCCAATTCTCTTTCAAGTGGCGCCGCTCCCAGCAAGAACAACGCTCCCGCTCGGGGCTCCCCCCTTTTTCCTGAAGACGGTGCTGTTCCACGCCGCCGACAACAACCCCCGTCCCGACAAAACCACGACTCCCGCTCGATGTTTCTCCCCTTCTTACTAAAAGCGGTGTTCCCCTCGCCGCCGAAAACCGCAACCCCGACAAAACCAGCGCTCCCGCCCGAGAGTTCGTTCCGTTTTACGCTGGACTGGCGCCATACTCTTTTTTGAATTGGCGCCGCTCCCAGCAAGAAGAAAGCTCCCGCTCGAGATTTCCTTTTTCCTCGGGGCGGTGCTGTCCCTCGCCGCCGGCAACACCCGTTCCGACAAAACCACGACTCCCGCTCGATGTTTCCGCCTTTCTTGCTCAAGGCGGTGTTCCTCCTCGCCGCCGAAAGTCACCGTCCCAACAAAACCAACGTTCCCGCTCGAAACTTCTTTTACGCTGGACTAGCGCCCTACTCTCTTCAGCATTGGCGCCACCCCCCACAGCAGCCCTGCTCGAGACTCCCTCCCTTTTCTATTCAAGGCCAACTCCTTGCCTCACCGCCGACAGCCCCATCCCCACCAAGGCAATCCTGTCGTTATAAAGTTCCTTATGCTTTACCTTTCGCTGGGGTTCCACTGGCGGTATCGCATCGGCGCAGCAAGGCGCGGGCATGTGTTTTCGAGGCGGGATATGTTTGAATTCCTTGGAGGAGGTGTTTGCAAGACTTCATTGGGCGGGAGGTCTGGGAATGGGAATAACGGGCCCCGCTATAAAACAAGAGTCCCCAATTACGTGGATGGTTATCATTATGGTCGCATGTTTCGTGTGGACACCTCGCGCATGAGGGTATAATGATTGTTGTTGGTGTTGTTGTTAAATGTTATTTACGAAACAATTATTATTGTTGGACCCTTGATCGGCGCCTTGGCGCTGTCGTCAAGGCGCCGGCTGCATTTTCATTGAAAATGAAGCTCACGCTCAAGCGTGTTGGGGGGCCGCCCAAGCCAGCCCCCCAAGAACAACAACGCCCCCGTTCGAGACTTCCTCCATCTTTACTCAGGGCCGGTGCACTTGCTCGCCGCCGAAAGCAGCCGTCTCAACAAAACCAGCGCTCCCGCTCGAGACCCCTCCCGTTTTACCTTGGACAGGCGCGCTACTTTTTCTCTCATCGGCGACGCCCCCCAGCAACGACAACGCCCCCGCTCGAGACTTCCTCCCTTTTTTTACTCAAGGCGGCACTCTTGCTCGCCGCCGACAGAACCCGCCCCGACAAAACCAGCGCTCCCGCGCGAGAGTTCCTCTCGTTTCGCGCTGGACTAGCGCCCTTTTCTCCTTCCCCTCCTCCTCTTCCTCGTCGTCCTCCTCCTCCTCCTCCACTCCTCATCATCTCGTCCTTCCTCCTCTCCTTCTCTGTTCCTCCCTCTTCCTCCCTCCACCCCCTCCTCTTCTCCCTCCCCCCTCCTCCCTCCGCCTTTCCCTTTTCGTTCCCCTTGTCTCCCCCCTCCTCCTGCCTCCCTCCTCCCTCCCCCCTCCTGCCTTCCCCTTCCGTCCTCCCTCGTCGTTCCCGCTTGATACTTCCTCACCTTTTACTCGGGAGTGGGGGCCATGTTTCGGCATCGCCTCTGGGGGGCTTCCAAGCGTCCCCGTTGACTGTTATGAAAAACTATCACTTTGGGAGAGCATAGATAATAGATCATGTGGAGGAGGAGGAGGAGGAGGACGGATGACTTTCAGGGGCTCCTTGGATCGAGGGTCGAAGGATTGACTCCAGGGATTCCTTGAGAGGGTGTGGAGGGGCAGGTGGGGAATGCGAGCATGGGGGCGACAGCGCCTGGGGGCGTGAACGTTCAGTGTCACGCGCCGAAGCCGCAGGATGGTGGCGTAACAGCCCGAACGAGGCCTGACATCTACAGACAAGGTCCGCGCCTTCTCAGGAGCAGGGGTGTTTCCAAAAAGTCTCCCCCCCTCCCACTATGTACCCTCCTCTGCGCGTGGCCGACCGTTGTTCCCAGACGCGCGACGACCGGATTGTTTCAGTCAGTCTTATTCTCCGGCAGCCTTACTGAAGGACTCAGGTCCGACGAATGGGGGTCTACAGTCTCTTTCTTCCGCGGCACCCGCGGCGCAGCAACGACCACGGCCACGACGACACCAGGGTCATCGAATACGACGACAAGTGCGAAGGCGGAGACGACGACGTGGACGAGTGCGACGACGGGGGCGAGGTGCACGATCTCCCCCAGGGCCGTAGGCGACTCGAGGAGGAGGAGGAGGAGGAGGAGGAGGAGGTGGAGTAGGGGGAGGAGGAAATGGAGGAGGAGGAGGAGGGGAGGAGGAGGAGGAGGACCAGGACGAGGAGGGAGGAGAGGAGGAGGAGGAGGAGGAGGAGGAGGAGGGGAGGAGGAGGAGGAGAAGGACCAGGAGGAGGAGAAGAAGGAGGAGGAGCGAGGAGGAGGAAGAGGAGGAGGAGCAGGAGGAGGAGGACGAGGAGGAGGAGGGGGAGGAGAAGGAGGAGGAGGAGGAGGGGGAGAGAGGAGGACGGGTCGCCTGAGCCTTTTTTCGGAGAAGCCCTCCAGGACGAGGACGTGGACGAGGGCGACGACAGGAACGAGGGCGACGACGGGGACGAGGACGCGAGCATGTCGGGGCCTCCCCCCGTGACGATCTGCGTCGTCGTCCAACGAAGTCTCCGGGCCTGGCCCTGTCCGCTTCAAGCTCCGGACCCGTTTGGGACTCAGGACGGGGCTATAGGCCGTGCATGGTTTCCCCCGGGGCCGTAGGCGACCCGAAGAGGAGGAGGAGGAGGAGGAGCGAGGAGGACAAGGAGGAGGAGGAGGAGGAGGAGGAGGAGGAGGAGGAGGAGGAGGAGGAGGAGGAGGAGGAGGAGGAGGAGGGGGAGAGGGAGGGGGAGGAAGGAGGAGGAAGTGGAGGAGGAGGAGGAGGAGGACGAAGATGAGGAGTAGGACGAGGGGGGGGAGGAGTAGGAAGAGGAGGGGGAGGAGGAGCAGGATCAGTCATGCCATTCCAGTTTTTCTTGAACCTGATTTCTGTTGCAATCCTTGGTGCGTCGAGGCGGCACGGATCCAGGGACATACCTGAGCGGGGGCGCGTCGGCGCCCTGACAACATTGATACCATCCAAAATACGCAAAACTCGTTAGCGGTTCGAGGTGCTCCAGTTCAGTCTAGCTTTCGCCCAAGGCACCACCGAAATACCGGAACAGCAGGCGGCCCCCAGTACTCCAGCAAACCCATTGTCGATGAAGATTTTGGCCAGGCAGGACCCAAATCGATAGGGATAAGCGGCCGCACGCTTGGTCCAGCGGACCCCCAGAGGGTCCCCTCCAGTCAACACGATGTGGGGCTGCTTGGAGTACTCACAGGGCTTAGTTCCGTAGCTACCACACTTGAAAATCATGTTCTCGATTCCTATCAGTCCAGCGCACCAGAGGGTCGTGTTTTTTTTTTTACATCTGGCCCCAAAACAACACATGTGAGTCACTACGTTGTCGACGTTGAGGCCTCGACAGAGGCCTTGAAACTCGGGGGTGGACCAGATCAGGCTCGTCTGCGGGTTCTCGATGACCCACGGTACGCTGCACTGAGAAGCGTAGGCACAGAACTGGGCAGTCAGCTGCATGAGGCGGGTCCCCATCTCGAGCTGTCTCCGAATATGGGGCTGAACATCTGGCAGCCCAAGGATATGTTGCTTGGAACGAATCATCGGCCTTCTCGCAATACTGTACGTGGTACACGGGGGGGCGCAGAGCAGGCCGAGGCAGCGAGGATGTGCGATCAACCTTCGGATGCGCCGTTGTACACTGACACGTGTGACATCACCCTGCGGGCCTTGTAAAAATATCGAAGGCGAACGCATCGATCCCCCTCCGTCTCGCGGCTCGACTGAAGCTGCCACACCCGCTGAAAACTTCAATCACGAAGAAGCCTTTCCTGGCGGCACGCCTCGGTGTGCGCGAAGCTGCTTGCCGGCTCTCAGCATGGTTGCCTCGAGCTCGAGCGCGCACCTGGTGCACATGAGACGGCTGCGCTGGTCTAGCTTGTTGTAGACGTCCTGCACCAAGGCCCTCTTCTCGTACCTCCTGACCGACGCCATGCTCCTCCATCTTCCCAGACGCTGTACTTCGGCGAGGTCGAGGCGGTTGTGGAGTCGATCCAGACTGGCACCCGAGTGGCTCCCCATGTACAGGACGGGCTTCAGGTAGCTGATGCCAACCACGCCGCACACGGCGATGAAGCTCGCATTCATCTGCTTCAGGCTGAAGTCCCACAGGGGGCCCGCGCTGGGACGGGCGTCCACGTACATCATCAGTATGTCCGACAGCCAGGGGCGACTCACGATGAGGCTCTCGTCCACCGCCCCCACCTTGCTAGACTGGCCGTGCTCGGCGGGGTGCAGCAGGATGGCCGCCAACGCCATGTGCCGCTGCGACGTTGCCCTGAGCACCTGCGAGGTCTTGAGGTCCAGGCACTCTCCGGGCCGCATGTAGGTGTCCACCATCAGCAGCCAGGCCAGCGCCATGCACAGTCCCTCCATGCGCAGCAGGTTCACCGCGATCGCGGCCACCACCTCCCACGGCAGGGGTCGGCGGGTCCTCCTGGGCACCAAGCGGCGCCAGCCCCGCAGCGACCGCGTCGCCCTGGGCAGGGTCATCATACCCTTGGCATTGTACACCAGTACAACATACTGTTTCGCTGCGATGAGCTTCTCTCCTGTCGACGGCGCCTTGCCCTCGAGAAAAAGCCGATCGAAGTAGCAGACCACGTGGGCGTCCACCTCCGCCGGGTGCAGGCTGAGGTCCACGACATTCTGCTTCGTCTGGAAATCCGAGAGCAGTCGCTTGTACTGACCTCGGGTCTTCAGCGTCAGCGAGGCCTCCTCGGTGATACCGGGGCCTTCTGTCGTGTCCCGCAGCTCTCCGTGGGTGGCCAGTCGCCTCGCGGCTCGCCTCTGCTGCAACTTCAGCTCCTTCTCGCCTCGGCCTCCTTGATCTCCAGCAGGCCCAGGATCGGATGACCCGGAGCTCGGTGGTTGGCCCCGACCAAGCTCGACACGTTCAGGCCGGTCTTCTGCCGCTTGCCCTCCTGCGTCTCGCTCGGCCTGCCGGGCGCCCTCGGCTGGCTGGTGGCCTGCTGGCTCTGATCTGACCTGCTCCTCGGGCGAAAATGATTTGGCCGCCAAACTGGCGCTGACTGCATTGCTCTTCGTAGATGGCTCTCGCTTGCGGGAGGGTCCATCGGCGGGATTAAGTTCGGAAGGTACCCATCGGCATGCGAACCTGGATCGAGTGGCTAGAGCCCACGCCGCGGCCTTACGGTGGAGCATGAGAAGACGTGGATCTCGACACCTGCCCTTGGAGAGAGACAAGATGAGCCCAATATTATCTCCCAATATCAACCACGAACGACCCCAATCTTTTGGATCCTGCACGGCCTGTCGAATAGCTCCCAAAAAACCTCGCATCTCGGTGACATGTATCGGCTCATACGTGAAGACGGGTTGGAACCGCTCGACGGACCACGACGTAGACTCTACCACGTTCGCGGGCACCTCGGGGAACTCCCTATTAACGTAGACGTTGCTGAAATCGACCTCCTTATCTCCCCAGACTCCAGTCCCCAGCACCGAGACGTCCTTCAACGCGTTGGCGCGCGGATTGAACCCTGCTGGGTCCTCGTCGTTCTTGAACCGCCATCTCTCATGCCACCTACCTACAGACTGTGCATCTCCCACCGTCCAGGCCCCCCTTACTGTAGCGCGCCCAGACTCACATGCATCATAAGGCAGGACATCCTGGGACCATTTTGGACCCAGGTCCCGAGAGGCAAAAATCAGAAGCCCTTGGATCGAGCGGAGCTCGCGGAAAACGCTTTTCCAAAGGATCCTGGGCTCCTTAAAATTTCCTCGGGCAAAGTCATAGCTAGCACGCAGACGACTGAGGAGTTCACGTTTTAGCAAGGCTACGAAAGTAAAGTGGCCAATCAGCCGTTCGAGCTGGCGGCTGGTCATCGGCGGCCGCCGGCGATGGATCCACTCGGGCGCCTTCCAGAGCCTCCAGTACCGCTTGGCCGCAATGGCGACGCGGCAAGGCTGCCCCTGCTGCGCGACGCCCAGCATCTCCATGCTCTCGGCTGCGTCCGACTCGTCATGGGTGGCGTTGCCCGCCGCCTGCAGCGCCTCGCACGCAACTCGGCGCAGCCGCGTCACCTCGTCCCTGTCGTGGCCCTCGATCAGCACGTTGTCCACGTAGACCGCGTGCAGCGCGCCCTCCCCTGGTAGGGGCGGTGGTCGAAAGTCAATCGCCCGACGTCGTGGCCCCAGCCCGGGTACTCCATCGAGCACGTGTTCATGAATGCGCTGAACGATGTACAGTGCCCACTTCCAGCCCATAGGAACCACATTCATCAGAGGATAGAGCATGGTGCCCCCGGCCAGGTACTGCCCATCCAGCTGTGCGATGCCGACCTCGCTCGCCTTCACAGCGTCCATCCCGAAGTAGGGCAGCCAGGCCGGCATGCAGTGCTGGTAGAACTCGTTCTGAACGTCTCCCCCTACATAGAAAAGTTGACGACCCTCTGGGACCCCCACCTCAGCGAAACTGCTGCCGGGGAAGAGGTGCACCTTGGGCGCGTCCACGAAGTGCTGGTTGCTGCGACGGCAGCCCACCACGATGCGGATCTTGCCGTCCTTCTTCTTGACGAAGAATATCTTGATGGCCTCCTTCCGACGACGCGCCAGGCGGAAGATCCCGCGGGCAAGGCCGTCCTGGATGAAGCCGATGTAGGCGCTGCGGTCCTCCTTCAAAATGGTGTCGCCATACAGTGTCGGCAGACCCTCGCCCTGCCGCGCCTGCTGCACCTCGCGCGGCTGCCGCAGCCTCACGTCACGCTGGCCCTCTGTCAAGTACTGGAGCAAGTCCAGCGGCGCGTTGGTGGCCAGGGGCACGGGCGCGTTGCCTTTGGCCGGCCAGCTGACCAAGTCGCGCGAGTAGGGCCGAACGGGGGGAGTCTCGTCACCATCAGTGTAGGTCGAGGGCGTGCTCCCGAGAAGCTCATCAAAGGCTTCCTTCGGAGTGAACGAATTCCCCGGCACGGGGGCATGGGCCGAGCGCAGCCCCGCGCATCACTGTAGATCAGGGCGGAGGGGCCACTCAAGTCGGTGACGGACCCCACCTCGGGCGTCTCAAAACCTGCCAGGAGGTTGATCGCGCGAGTGGTGTCGCACGTGGCCTCCTGCACCTTCAATCGTCGACGAACTCTCTGCTCAGTGCCCCTCGACAATCGCGCGCTCCCATTGTCGCGCTGCTCTACCCGTGGGCAAGCGAGGGGACGAAAACCGCCCCTTTCCCCAACAGCGGCATTCCGACGATGAATTGACCCCTTCTGCGTCCCGCTGCGGCCGGGGGCCTCCGCAGCGCTGCCTTCCCTCAGGGGCTGGCCTTGCCAGCACTTGACTTGCCTCCCTTGTTCTTCTTGGCGGCCTCCTCCTCCTCGCGAGCCTTCCTCCGCTGCTTCATCACCTCCGTCTCCTTGCTCTTCTTCTCCGTCGCGTACTGTGCCAGCGATGGGTTGAGCGCCGCGCCGCGGCGCAGTCCCCCTGTCCTGTCACGGCCCAGGTAGTGCTCGATCCCCTCCAGCTGCAGTGTCCCGCTGGTCTCCTCCACCAGTTGGCACGGCCGCGCCGGCGCCTCCGCGCTGGCGAGGTTGCCGCCGTCGCACTGGTCGTAGCACACCGACAAGTCCAGCGCCAGCCCCACCAGGTCGTGCATCAGGAAAGCCGTGGAGTCAGGCGAGATGCGCTGCTCCATGGCCCACTTCGTCTGCCGCGCATCGAAGGTCCCGCCGTGGCCCCGTACATGCTGGAAGAGCCACAGCGCCGACCTCTCGCCCTCCAGCGGAAAGTCGTCCATTGGCTCCACCCGCATGCGAGAAACCGCCGCCGAGAACTCCGACCAGCGGCGTCCTCCTGGGTCGTAGACGACCGGCGAGAGCACGCGGGCGTCGGCCCCATCTCCCGCGCCGCGCACCTCCTGGATGGCGGCGAGGCTGGAGGCGGGGCACGCGGTGATGACCTGGCCGTCGGGGAGCCTGTGGAGCGCCCGCTCGCCCATCACCGTGTCGCTGTCCGCCAGCTCGATCTCGTCCCCGCGCTTGATGGCGCCGAGCGTCTCCATGGACACCCAGCGAGTCGAGCCCCTCAAGACCTCGGCATCCTCCAGGGCGGGAGGCGTCGCGGTGCCGCCTACCTTCTCCCGCAGGGCTCCCCCGTCGAGGTGGTCAGCTGCGGGCCGATCTTCAGGCGGCCACCCTGCAGCACTGTCCCCGATGGCCGGGGGCGGCTCCGAAGGTGGCGGCGCCGGCGGGCCCTTGCGGCGGCGACGCGCAGCAGCCTCAGCCACGGGCATCGGCTTACGCTCACCCAGGGAGTCCAGGTACAGCGAGTGCGCGGGCCTGCCGTAACCCATCTCGACTGCCAGCTGCCCAGCCTCACGCAGACGAGCCAACAGGTCCTCCTCCCCAAGGTACTCCTTGAAGCGGTAGGTGCGGCCCCGCAAAAAGACGGGCAGCGCGCCACTGTCCTCCAGCACCACGGCGCGGCACGGGCCGTCCTCAGGGCTGGAGCAGAGAATGTTCTCGACGTACATGTCGTGGTCGGGAGTCTCGATCACCCAGTGCTGCGCATCCACTTGGCCTAGCAGCAGTCTCTCGTGCCACACATTGTCATCGCTGTAGAAGACGGCCACGTAGCCGCCAGGGAGGAGCTCACTCCAGAACGCCTCCTCCCCGACGGCGCGGCCGCTGGCCAGTCGGAGGGCTGCCGTCCCTCTCCACTGCGGCACGCGCAGGCTCGGCTCCTCCGCGCTGGCCGCCATCCGCAGCGGTGGTCGAACGCGCCTGCTCGCCATCTTGGCGACGTCGGGCGCAGCACCTGCCAGCGCTCACCACCAGGATGTGGCCCACGGCCGACCCGAGCACCTGCCACGCGGGCAGCTGCGACAGCGCGTGCTCGTCGACCACCTTCCCCACGACTCCCTCGCACCGGCACTCGCAGGCCGGCGGCTCGGGGCAGGGCTGAGGCTCTGGCAGGCTCAGCCACTCGGGCGGCCGCTGGCACTGCTCCTCGCGGGCCGCGCCCGCCCCGGCAGCCGCCGCCGCGGCGATGGTGGCCGCCTCCGCGGCCTTGCGGGCGGCACTCACCGCCGCCTCCACGCCGCTGGCGGCGCCCCAGCCGGCCTGGCGCAGGAAGGCCTGGTACAGCAGGTCTGCGTGGCGCAGCAGCACGGCTCCCACGACGCCGACGGCGGCGTGCTGCGGCCGCAGCGCCAGGGCCATGCAGCCCCGCGGCACCGGCTTCCCCTCCCTGAGAGGAAAAGCTGCAAGCGAAAACCCTCTCTCACTTCCTGAATCCCATGCTAAAGCACACCCAGGAGGAGGAGGAGGAGGCGGAGGAGGAGCAGGAGGAGGAGGAGAAGGAGGAGGAGGAGGAGGAAGGAGGAGTAGGGGGAGGAGGAGGAGGAGGAGGAGGAGAAGGGGGAGGGAGAGGGAGGAGGAGGAGGAAGTGAAGGAAGGGAGGAGGACAAACTATGTGCGCTCGCGTCATAGCTGACGTCC